ATAATACCATAATCTTTGCACTGTAGGTTCTAATTAGGACCGTTGTTTCTTTTATCATTAAATTTAATGTTAAAGATACTGGTGGTTTGAGATTTATTGGAAGTACTAGACATAGATCCATTTAAAAAAAGATGCTTCTCTAGATATAATAGAAAAGGAATTCCTAACATTGGTTCAGGGGTTAGTTAAAGGATATGACTCTTAACTTGATTGAAACAATCATAAAGACCACTTAGAAATTGCATAAGTTTCATGAGTTTGGAGTGATTATTAAACTAAGTAGAGGCAAGACAAACACACTCAATTAAGTTTGTTAGTCCATCAAAATCTTTCCATAATGATTCAAAATTATTATACTAGTATGAAAGAAATAATCCATTTTAAGTTAATGAATTAATTTTTTGATGAATGTTGAAGATAACAGATCCATCAGAATTAAAACAAGATTCATTTAACTCATTCCATATATCAATAGCATTCTAAGAGAAAATATGTCCTACATAAATGGTTGCAGAAATAGATCCAAGCATCCAAGAACACATAAGAACATTAGTTCTTTCCCATTTAAGTGATTTAATAGGATTATCTTCAGTTTTAGTTACAGTTCCATCAATAAAGCCCAATTTATTTGTAGCTTTTAATGCCCTAGTCATAAAAATTTTACAGACTAAAGTTTTTAGTTACAAGTAATCTGAAACTAATAATAGTTCCAATCGTAGTAATAGTCTCAGTAAGATGAATATACAAAGGATCATCAACATCTGGTGTCTCAGTGGACTTTGTCCTTGATACACCAGAAGTCTTCCCAACAGCCACATAAAAAAAATAATAAGAAAAAACAGTGGCACCTGAATTACATAAAGACTTGGATAATAAACCAATATAATTGCGAACCAAGGTTAATAATTCAGACCTCGATAAAACAAGAAAAACACAAAGAGATGGAGTAATAAGTCTGGTTTTCAAACTAGATAACAAAGCCAAGGTAATCGATGTAAGAGAATAGATTAAGAAGAAGAACCTCACAGAGGACCTAATTATAGGGTCGTAGGAAGAAGTTCTTGAACAGAGAGCGAGTAAAAAAGACTTATAGTGTGTGTTTATTTTGGATCTTCAACTCAACAATGAAGACTCATCGATTCACCAAAGACATGTACTCATAAAAATGGAAGTACCAACGAATTAGGGTTTCAAAACTCGAACCAATGTGAATGAAAGCCCTAATTGATTAGGCTAATGATATAATATGAACAAATGAAAATAGATCTAAAGGAGATTTTGCCATTCTCAAGATTGTCTAAGGGTAGGACCACTGATGAATGAGAGAAGAACTACAAGCAACGTTGAGATTCAAGCGACGATCTAATAGGAAGCCGATCGATAAACATAACAACGAGACTCCTAAAGCCTTGATACCATGTACAAAATAACAAAAGAAATTTTATAACATGAAAAATCTACTATTGATGAATATATCAGTTCGTTTACATCTTTTATAATCAAACCACACTACACAAAAGCTAGTTTACTCTCACATATATCTACACTCAAAATATTAATGATCAAGAAAAGATGATTTACAGGTAACTATATAGAAACCCTAATTACAGTGGAAACCCTAAATGAGAGAGAACAAGATATGTTTGAGAGTGTATATGTGTGATCTAATATGCTCCACAGGCGAACTCTTCATTAAGTAGTATGCAACTTGAACAACCTGAACAACCACAGACTATCCTTGGATCTATAGACCTACGAGGCATCAAACCAAATTTAAGATGCAAACCTTATAGATAGACAATATGTACAAAAGTTACCCAATTTATATACCAATATCTTTAACCCATCAATGTTACATTTAGCCACTTAAACAAATCATATTGATGCATATAAAGACAAGCCACTTTAAGTTCGGTTAGAAAAATCATGTTATTCAACACTGTTGCTATTAAGTTGGTAAAGGAAATATTATGTACCCGATATATGACGGATTAGAAAAAGATTGTTGTTAATTCACTAAATACTTTTACATATATATGATGGATACTTTTGTGTATAAAATTTCGTTTTGTTGAAATGTAATAGGGTATATGCCCGATTGCACATACGCCCTCATTAAAAGAAGTTTCAACTACATATTGGTATAGCCCAACCATAAGGAGTAAGCCTGAACGATAGAACTATTCTAGTTGATTTGGTACACTAAAGAAAAATTGAACGACCGAATGATAAATGACCGAATCACCAAAGGACAAATGACGAATTCACACAACGAAGTCTAAGATCTTAACAATACTTAAGATCTAACATAAATGACTAATGGCATTACCAAAGTACACACTTTTGTACCTTTGGTCCCATGAACATTTAATACGATGGGACTGAAACCTCCTTGGTAAGCCCACATCCACAATTTTCAAGGGAAGAGATATATAAAACGAGTAAACAATTATACAAGTACACACTCATAATTCATTTTCCAATTTACACCATATCGATGAACTGTCTAACGTTATCAGCATAGTGTTCTTTGGGGAAAACCTCCCAATGAACGACTTATGTTCTGTGTGCTTCTCAGGTTCAATATTCTAGTCAATAGGTCAAGAGAGAAGACAGAGTATTCCTAACCATGAAAAAGAATCCTGAGGCAAATTGTAATGTAAAGACATAATAATTTGTCTAAGTTGTGAGAAATTCAAACTAGTTTGTTTTGGTATACCATCATAGTATATATTTCTTAGTAAATTCAAACTAATTTGTTTTGGTATACGAATCATATATATATATATATATATATATATATATATATATATATATATATATATATATATATATATATATATATATATATACTAGTTTATAATCCGTGAGAACCACGGTTATATAATTAATTAAACTTTTAAAATAAAAACAAAAAATTATTAATCGATTATTTTAAATAAATTATTAATTAAGAGATTTTTTTAGTTATATAAATTTTAATCATTGATTTAAATAAATATGTGAAACTATATCACTTTATAATTTGTATTAAGTTTATTTTTATTTTTATTCTAATGTTATTAATTTAATGCAATTAGAGTGGGAAATTTAAAATTTAAAATTTGAAATGAAGAATTAATAGGTTTACAAATGTCATGTATTAATTAGGAAATATAATATGATGACACATGGTAAAATGAGAATAAAGTATACATTAATTAAGAGGCTTGATAAGATGACACATGTCAAGACGAGGATAATACTATTCTTTTATTAGATAGGAAGATATATATATATATATATATATATATATATATATATATATATATATATATATATATATATATATATATATATATATATACTAGTTTATAACCCGTAAGAACCACGGTTATATAATTAATTAAACTTTTAAAATAAAAACCAAAAATTATTAATCGATTATTTTAAATAAATTATTAATTAAGAGATTTTTTTAGTTATATAAATTTTAATCATTGATTTAAATAAATGTGTGAAACTATATCACTTTATAATTTGTATTAAGTTTATTTTGATTTTTATTCTAATGTTATTAATTTAATGCAATTAGAGTGGGAAATTTAAAATTTAAAATTTGAAATGAAGAATTAATAGGTTTACAAATGTTATGTATTAATTAGTAAATATAATATGATGACACATGGCAAAATGAGAATAAAGTATACATTAATTAAGAGGCTTGATAAGATGACACACGTCAAGACGAGAATAATACTATTCTTTATTAGATAGGAAGATTTCTTAGTAAATGACCGAACTTTGTTTCAATAAGAGCTTTTGTAAATAGATCTCCAAGCAGGGTCGGTCCTGAAAAATGAAATATATTCTTAAAAAATCCAGGACGAACAAGAAAAAAATGGTTCTTATCTTTATTATAATTTTGTATTTCTAAATAAAAATATATAATGAAAAAAATTAAACCTAGCCCACTAAGCCTCCCATATCTCCAAGATTCCTATTAACGTGAATACATGAAAATTTTCTTTTTAAGTGTGATCTTGAATAAAGTGATGTCTTATACTAATGCATTATGTTTTCGGATGTTGCGGTTGTAAGTGATTGCAATGACACTCAGGGTTGTCACACAAAAGTGTTTGGCATGTTAAATCTATAATCTATTATATGACTTTGCAACCACATGATAAATGTTTGTTTTTTTTCTTGTTGTCTATGTACTCAACAAAAGGACTTATAGTATAAAATTAAGACATTTAAATACTAGCTAACCATAAAAAGATTGGTAACCATGAGATGATGAGAACCGATCATAGTATTAGATCCGTACTTTCATAGTATTAATCCGTTAATACTGAAACATAGTTCAAACATAGTTCAGGTATTTGTATTAAATTGTAAATATAACATAATTTTTTACGGTATTCAAAGTTTAATACATGAACCATGTTATATTATTCATAGTCTAAAATGATCGGTAATTACGTTCCTAATTGTTCTATGATCTTTATTCGAACCCTTTCATAATGACCAATCGTATTTATAATATTAGGTATTTTTTTTTTATCATTACAAGTCATAAACTATTATTATTATAATCACCGTATTATCGTATGGTTAAATGGATTGATAAATAAGCACTTAAATTGAAAACTAAATTATAAAATTCAATCACCGATCTCAAAAAAATAATTATAAATTCAAATTTCATGGATTATAATCGATGAAATCTACATATACACCTTGTCAATGATCACTAATATATTAACATGCCGTCTGAACAGAAATAGTTTAACATTCATGGTCTTCTCACCACCACACCCTTTCCTTTATTTCATTTCATTTATTTATTTTGTAAATATATGTCATTATAAGGACAAACAACTCAAAGTAGCCTGCCCCTAACTCTAGTTGTTCTCATTCTCTATCTCTCTCTTCTTCTGAGCTCCATAAACTTTTTGTTATCCAATTTTCTGTTACTTTTCGTCAGGAATTGGGTAAGAATAGAAATCATTTGTATGATGGATAACGCCGATGATGAGCAAACTTACTTGAATAAACAGGAATCAATGCTACCACAACAAACTAGCCAAAATCCATGTTCACCACCGTCTTCACCACCACCAGCCACCGCATCACCTTCCTCAGTCTCTTCATCTCCTACTCATGAATTCTCCTTTACCGTTTCTCTCCACCCAAACCCACGACCAATATTCAGTCAAAATCATAATTCTGATACTTATGATAGCGATAACAACCATAAAACCGACACTACTGGTTCTCTTCTACCATATCCATTGACAGCTATTGACTTATCTCCAGCGGATGATATCTTCTTCCACGGCCATCTCCTTCCTCTTCACCTCCTATCTACTCTCCCTGTCTCCCCTCGCTCCTCCACAAACTCAATGGACAGTTATACCCTCCCCAACAACCTCTTATATGACCCAACCAACCCCATCGGAAACACCAGCTTCCACTGCCACCACCAAACCGCCTTCTCGGATTTCGAAGAGCCTGAGGTCGCCATTAGCAATCAAAACCGACCAAAGTCCAAATCTTTTTCACTCTTTAGCATACCCAAATGGAAAAAAAGGTGTGATGATGAGAGAGAAAGAGGTGAAGATCAAAATACCAAGAAGCTGAAGTTAGATTTAGGTCAGCTCATCAAGAGGTACATGAAAATGGTAAGGCCTTTGTTGTCATTTCCAAAGTCGAGGAGGTCAAATACGACTTTTAACCATCAGTCATATTCGTTTTCTGGAAACTCGCTGAGTTCCAAGAGTAGTAAACCGCCGCATATGAATAGAGGTGGTAAGAGAAGAGGGCAGTTCTCGGCACCGGCGTCTATGCGGACTTCTCCGGCTTACAGCGGAATCATTCTTAACTCGGGGACTGTGAGTCCCGCCAAGAGTACAACAAGTGAAAGCACCATGGAAGAATTGCATGCTGCAATTCAAGCTGCTATTGCTCATTGTAAGAATTCCATCGCCATCGAAGAGAAAATTCAGTCCGAAAATTAAATCATTTATCAAATTTAGATACGTCGACGTCAAAGAAAGAGTCCAGGTGTTGATCAATTTTAACACGCCAATCTTCTTATAGAGTAAATAATAATGTGCGTCGTTTTATACACGAAATATCAAATTCAACCAATCATATATGTCTGACTAACCGATTAGTGGTCGTAGTGTTACGGCTCTTTATCTATTTACGACTGACTTTGATTAATTGCCACTTATGAACTTACGTATTTCTAAAGAAAAATGGAGATTTATAACGTTTTTTTATCTCTAAGATTTTTGCATTGTAAATAAAATATCATACATGCTTAAAACTATATCGCATTTATTAGATAAGGAAACATTCCTTTTACATTCAAACTTAAACTATTTTAAAACTATATAATTTTATTAAAGATCGACAAGCAAAGTGGACACAATTCTTTGAGAATTAAAACGTAGACCAAAAGAGAAATGATTGGCAAAATTGCATGCATGTATAGAAATCTTTGATATCTGATCAAACTTATCAAAATTTTGCGTCAAAGAAGGATTATAACAGACCAACGAAACTTTGCTATTAATTAGTAGTTTAATTGAAATTGGTAGGGATACAATAAAAGAAATTCATTGAATGACTAATTGGAACTGGGGTAAGAGATTAGCGATAGATAACTGATTTCAGAAATGATAACTCAATTTACAATGATCGTATACCAAATTCACAATGATCGTATACCAAATTCACGATAGAGAAATGATAGCTGACACCTCCTGGAGTTTGTTAGACCCAATGTGATGACGCATGCAGTGACGACCAAGTTCACGATGTGAATAAGCTTGGTTCACAACATGAGACCCCAAAAATGACCCTATAAATAGATACTGAAGGTCTCGAGTTTAGGCTGCTCCTTTCTCTTCTTCTGGCCACTTTTACTCTGCGTTTAGCATCCCGACACTACCCCAACGCCCCAGTTACGCGTCCAGATCCCGACGAAGGCTCGAATTCCCGAAGTTCCCGATAAATAAATCTTTTCCAGTTAAAGTACTACCCGTGTGAAGCCCAATTTTTCTCCAGAAACCCATTGTTTCGTCAAGAATGATCCTTCCTAGAAACGAAGCGCTACTCGATTCTCTACTTATCAAGTGAGTTTATACCCCCCCCCCCCCCCATTTCTACACTTTTAACTGATTTTAAATCCTTTTAAACACTTTACCGGGGGGGGGGGGGGGGGGGAATACAAGTACACACACAGTTAATCCCATGTGAAAACATCAATCTTTTGTTATACATTTCAAGTTGTTTTTATAACTATCATTTGAAGTTGTTAACATGCAAAGTACCTTACACCACTTTACCATCTCGGGATAAAAACATGTTTACAAAATGAAATATGCTCTATTAATATGTTTGCATAACATATTATGTCAAGGGTAACCTTTTTTAACTATAACATTATGTGTATTTAAGAAAACACAACTCTTTATAATGCCTTTGTTAACACTGTAGAAAGGGTAATCATTTTGGATATAAACATACACACTTTTGGGATACGTGACTTAATTTTTATCTTGTATTGTCAAACAATTTTCAATATATTACTCCTGAACTTGTTGTTAGCAATCATGTGAGGCATAAGGCTTTGTTTTTACCAAACGAAAGTCACTTCTATAACAAGAGTCTCCTGGAGGGAGAGCGTGAATTTGTGTATAGATCTATATGGGGATGACAACTCCGCACCCTGACTGTTAGCTACAGTCGACCCTGGGTGACAAATGTCAACATTCGGTACTACGTCTAGTATGGTTATGAGAGACTCGCAACGCGGAAACAATGACTCATGCATGTAGTAATACACCTCTCGAACAAATCCATGGAATAAGTATCTTTATGATTGCTTTTATATAACTAGTTTGTATGAAGTAATCATAGTAGGATATTATTTTCATGTTCAACATCCGATTTAAACACAACTCTAATGGTTTTATTATTTTAAAATAATAAGACTATACATCATTCTTTTGAGCATGTCATAGTTGCTTATAACTTACGGTCTTGGTCATTTGAGACTGCATTTCACTTTTAGGAAAATAAGAGATTTTCCTGGTTCAAATACATTCATTTTGTACAATGATGATTTACAACATCATTCTTAGGAAAATAAGGGATTTTCCTGGTTCAAATACATACAGTTTATACAACGATCTTTTATACTCATTTCATACATCTAATAGAAAATAAGGGATTTTCTGGAAAACATACACGAACTTTCGAATGGCATTCATTTTCTTAAAACACTACTTATGAACTTACCAACTAAATTGTTGACACTTTTCTTGAAATAACTTTTATTCTCATGAAACCGCTAGACCAGGTAGCATCTACTTTTGAAGACTAACGTGCTGGCGTTAGTAACATATTTTGGATCACCATATCGTATTTGATATTCAAACACCTAATACATTCAATCATGTAAACTTTTCAAATATATATTATGGTGGTGTGTACTTTCTTTATCATTCAACTGTTATGATACTGAATATGATGTACTTCGCCCCTGAACGTTTCCGCTGTTCAAGTTTGGGGGTGTGACAAAGATGAGGATGATGAAGCCTATTTCCTCAGAAAGTTGGAGGAAGAAAAGAAGAAGAAAATTTCTGATGAAGCCAAACCTGCTTTAATTTTGCAGGAACAGGATGATGAGTTTGACAGAGTTGAGGTATGGTCAACTGACTTCGGAGACGAAGAGGTTCGGAGGCCGACTCACGGGAGAAGCTTTGTGGCGAAAGTGGAGGATTCGTAGTTCAGTGGGAAGTGCTTTATGGTGACGAATGAAGGTCTGGAGCCCAGAGGATGCGCTACTAATGGCGGTTATGCCTCTGACATCTTTTTCACTGCGAAACAGTCCCCGAGCAGATCAGTGAATGTGAGAGGATGATCAGCAAGGTACACACTATTCTTGATTCTCCAAATATTCTTGTCTCTCGTTATGAAACTGAACTGGATGATTTATATTATACAATCTTTAGTTTATGTGATAGTTTAAAAAGAACTCGTCTAAATATTACTAACTTAACCGATCAACTTTGTAGGGTTTCATCAAAAACTGAAGAGAGACGCATATGGATTGAAAAGTTGGAGTCGGATTTGTCTATGTCTAGGGACGAGTTGATTTATTTGCATAGAGATAATTTAGGTGTTTTAAAACAGCGTAATATTTTTTTTTTTGATTTCCAAAAGACTTTATTTTAATATCACTCCGTTACATCCTGATTGTGAGATTAGAAAGAAAATTCACAAGATGATTTTTCCATTTCTCGAATTGAAAGGGGACGAAATCGATGTAACTAAGTGATATTAAAATAAAGTTTGTGAGATTAGAAAGAAAATTCATAAGATGATTTTTCCATTTCTCGAATTGAAAGAGGACGAAATCGATGTAGATTTTTACAAGTGCAAATCTATCGTCTCATCTGACGAAGTCTCAGATGCATATAGAGTAGGACTGGACAAAACAGAATCTTACATACAGTCCAAAGATCACAAAACATAATAAAATAGCTTTTGGATGAAAATATCAAGGCAAAAATTATATCTTGTACTATGCAGAAGTTCGACTCAATAAACACTAAGTATATTTCAGAAAACAAACTTAGTGTTGAAAATTCATCTGAATTTGACGATGATAGTGATATGAGTGAAATTTATGTGGATGATGAGGTTGATTTCTCTGACTTTGTTAAAACCGAACTTGAACCTGCGAAAGTATCAATATTCGAAAATTCAGTTAAGTTTGCTCGTTTTTTTGAAAATATATCAAAAGTTTTACAAGAAAAAGCAATTGTTTTTCCAAAGGTTCAAACTATTCCCAACTAAGTTTTCACAACTAAGGGATTGAACAAAAATAAAAAAGAAGCATTAGTGTCCATGGTCGAAGACAATAACAAAGATGGATGCGATGGGTTCGTCTCGTAAGCTCAAATCGATAATGTAGATGAAACCAAAGGTCTATCTAAAATTACCTCTTGGAAAACGAACAGTAGATACTTGGTAGAACCTCTGAATAAAGTCAACTCGAGCTACGAAAAGGGGATTCCTAGTGGAACCAAAGGTGTTCAAAGCTATAATTGATCCGTTCAGACCGAAACTCCAGTCACAATGCCAAAAGCTAAGGCTAACATTCATAAATCTTCTGAGTAGTTTGCAACTCAAAAACGCTAAAGGAATGCGTGATATAACAAAAATCTCAAGGAAAGAAAGCAGTTCTGGCAATCTAAGAATCCCAACTTTATGAATAAAGAAAAATCATTCAATCCAAATGTGAAAGTCTCATCATATGTGAAACCTAAGAGTTTTTTGCATAGTCGGTCTCAGTCTCCAAAGGCTTCCAATCAAAAGGTTTTTAAAAAACCCGCTTTTCTAAATCAAACGAAGCCTATGGAAAACTCAATGTCTCACAACTTTCCAAACAAAAGTGTTTCATATTCTGCCAAGACATCAAAGGATGTTAAGGGAAAAGGAAAGATGGTTTCGGAGCCTAAAATTCCAATCAAGAAACCCAAAATAACTCAAAGAAAGATGATAATAATTTTTTCAAGCAGTAAATCCAAAATAAACAAAAGAAAATATCCTCAAACAATAAAAAATCAAAAGATAAAAGGATTACTGTTTTTCAAATCACAAAGAAAGATAAAACCACTTTAATAAAATGTCACACCCCCGAACCAGACGGCGGAAACGTCCGGGGGCTGTCGTGACTCAATTGAATACCATAACATTGAATATATATGAAACATAACAACATTCGTCACCATTCATCAACATAGTACAACCAGTAGTGTTTACATAACATACATTGTTTAAACATTACATTCACCAAAAATTAAGTTGTTTAATTCATAAAAAAATAAACCGCAACCGTCACTGGATATGATTTCCCTTGATTCACTGGCTCCCTGAGAATACAAGTATTTTGAAAAACGTCAACATATGAAATGTTGGTGAGTTCATAAGTAGTGTT